AATAACTTATAATGTTAAAAGATTGTTGCTTGTTGTTAGAGGAAAATGAAAGATTTGTTGTCATAAGATGAGAAATCAATGATATAAGTTGCTTGACAATGCATTGTGTTGTTCGTGATGGGCATTTTAATAGCATCATCAAGCAGACGTGGTGTCACTAAGGTTATCTTTCAACCCTTGACACACCAAGCAAATAGTGATTGTAGGATTTTTGTTTGAAGGAATGAAAGCACTTAAGGTGTTTAGTCTTAAGTTTCATCTCCATCATTGTGATATTTAAAGAACTTTTGAATTGTCTAAGATCATAGTATTGTTAAAGAAATGGGACAATTGACCAATTTAAGGAAATTGCATTGATTACCATTTCTTTAAAGCTTTTAGACAATTTGGAATTGGGATTTGAATCAAGAAAATTAGTAATGGAAGAGATCATGGACGAATTGGATATTTAGAAAAATGGAGTCTTTTGAATGGGCGGGGTTGGAAATACAATCTTGGTTATAGAAGTTGTCATGCAAGCTTAAAAAGATGAGCTTTTTGATCAGGTTCGGGTGGCAGTTGTTTCTCAAGATTTTAAAAAGATTCAAAGGCCATGCTAGATATCTTGAATTATCTAAGGATGATCACTTGCAAGAGTAGTTAGGCTATGCCAATGGTTGAAGCAAGAGAGGAGGATCCTTGCAATCTTGGATGATCTTCGCTTGAGGTTATAAACATCTATGCAGGAATTTGTGATGGAAGGGGCCATGAGAGTTGTATTTACTCACCACAAGATGCTGTATTGTATGTGATGATATGCATACCAAGGGGAATCAATCAACAAAGGTCAACCTTAATGTTTTATCAAAATGTTATGCTTTGCAATTGAAGACCCTTGAAGACACAAGTTCATATTAGTTATCAAGAGAGATTAGGGCTTTGGCTTCTCTTAATGGACAACTTGTTCACTTGTTCTAAGACCTGCCAACCGTTTTGCTGATGTTCTTGCAAGGGAAGGGATTGATGGATAAATTCTTGTTTAGGGGGCACCCTGCTCGAGGCAGAACTACAATTTTAGCTCGTCATAGTATTTATTTTTCATATTTGGTCAAATTTTGCTTTTTTGTACTTACTGTTTTACTTCCTTGATAGTTGGTTTTCCTGTTAGTAAAGGGTTTGTATTTACATCATTTGTAAAGCACCCAGTTATTTATTTTGTTTATAATAGTATGGGTTCAGTTGTTGATTTCATAATGCTTTCAATTGTGACAAATGAGGTTGTTGCAGAATGTGGGAAACTACCCATGGCCACCTAGCACTTGAGAAACTACCCACTAGTTTAGAAATCACAAAATTCCTCATAAGCAGCCTTTACACAACTCAACTCAAAACAAAAACCATGTATACTCTTAATCTAGTGTTAGCACAAAGCAATATTGAATCCTGCCAATTACTCTAAGCCACCATTACAAATTAGAATCACTCTTCTTACCCTCCTGACCAAACCCTAAAGTCCTCTAGTCTCATTCCAACATCCTTTCATCCTAAACCACCTTTCGTTCTCTTTCTACATACTCCCCCTTCCAAATCTACACCACCCACCCAATCCAAGCTCATAAGTCTATTTTGTTCTTCTCTTTCTCCTCCTGGCTGCCTCTATTCCCCCTGTATAAAATACGAATGCCTTATGGTCATCAGGAAAAAATAAAAAAACAGAAAAAAGAAAAAGAACCCAATGCCTCTTCAATTACCACGTCTCTATAAATCAGCTTACTCAACTTCATCTTTATACACACCTTTCCTTAGATTTATTTTCTGTTACCTTCAATTCCTCCTCAGTTAGCTCTTTCTCCCCTTTTGGTTTGATATCCAACACTGATTTCTATTTCTATTTCCTTGATATCCAGGCCGAGCTTTTCATGAGCTGAGCTTGAATATTTCATGAGAAGCTCGTCTCATGGCCACCCCTAGCTCAACCCCAACCCACCTTGACCCAACCCAACCCATTAATCTTTTAATTCATCAAAACAAACGTAAATTGCAGAAAAAAACATAGAAAATGCAAAATATAATAAAAAACATGGAAGATGAAAATAAAAAAAAATTACAAAAAAAGACAAGAAATTACAAAAAGCAACATAAATTGCAGAATAATAACATATATTACAAAAAGTTACAACATAAATTGCACAATAATAACAAAAAACACAGAAAATGGAAAAATATAGAAATAATAATTGAGATCACAGAAAATAATAGAAATTACAAAAAATATAAGGTTATAGATAATCATTAGAAATTATAAAAAAAATCACAAAGAAGCAGAAAAGAAAATAGATATTACAATAAAATATAAAAAGATGAGAATCGATTGTTATCTCTATTTAAATATAGAATAATATAAGATAATGGGGTTTATCTCGACTCTGCATGATATATTAATATTTCAAACACATTTTGGTGAGGCCCTACGATAGTTTGTTTCCCTCTATATAAAAAAATGGCTTTTGCTGAACCAATGAACTTCAGGAACTTGGCCAAATAACGAGATAGCATTTAACTTGCCCGTGTTCTTGGAGAGCGATGGTGACAAAAAGTGCAGACTGAGAAAATAGAATTGAAGGAGTATGGATTCGAGAAGATGAGAAATTAACTGTTTACATTACAAAATATGGCCACCGGAACTAACGTGATCTTTAAAGGTGTAAATTGGGCCAGCAGGCATGGCATGGCCCATGGGTGAGCCACAGTTTTGGCAGGCAGTGCTATATCGTGCACAGGCCAAGCCTTGGACCAGGTTGGGTTGTGGGTAGACCTGTTCATGGGCCGGGTAGTCCGATGGCCCGGCCTGGCCTGGCCCGCACTCCGGTCGGGCTTGGTCATGTAATTAGGCCTGCGGGCCTGACCTTGGGCCCAACACAGTAAGTCCGATTGTGTTTCGGGCCGGGCTCGGGATTTGTCAAAAAAGCTCGGCCCGACTCAGTATTATATATTTTATGTATTTTATATATTATATAAAATATATAAATAATATAATATTTATTAAAATACATATTTAAAATTTAATATATACATTTTTTATTCTTTTCTTTATAACCTCTCTCTCTCTATTCAGCCGCTAATAGTATGGGCTAAATTTTAGGCTCGGGCCCAGGCCCGGGCTTTTTATGAGGGTTGGGCTCAGCCTCGGGCCTTAGAAAATTCTGTTAATACAGAGTGAAAGTCCGGCCCGAGCCTGACCCGGCCCGGCCCATGAACAGGACTAGTGGGTCAGGCTAGGCCATGATAGTCATATTTCTTTAAAAAATTTGAAAAAAAATAATGAAAGTTTGAAAATAAATTAACAAAATAGACAAAAGATTGAAAAATCTTCAAATTTTATTTTATATGAATTTTAATGTATATAATTATTTATATATGAAATAAAAAATTTACAGAATAAAACAGTATAATAAAATTGAAAATATGTATACATATGAGTCGTGTCAGGCTGTGCCAGATAGCCCACATTATTGTATCGTACCATGTCAGTCCATTGGGTCGACAACCCAAGCCCGACAGTCCATTCCTCCATACCGTGTCTGACACAACCCACATGCTATAGCAACAGGCCCAGGCTGGCCCGGCCCATGTCACGCTGGGCCATGCGTGACACGGCCCGATTGAAGAGGGGCGGGTGACGGGGTGAGTGAGATACAATGGATGACGTCATATTTGATTATGGAGTGGACAAAATCGTTAAACCATTTGGATCGCTGCTGATGAGTCCGATTAGGATTCAAATCACAATTTCCAATGAGATAGAGAGAGGGGTCTAAAAAGCTCCAATAGCTACCATCTTTAACCTCCGATTAGGGTTAGATCTTGGGGAGGAGTGAGGGAGAGATAGAGAGAGGAGGGAAGCGGGTGAACAATAAAATACTGAAATGGGAAGGGAAGAGTAAGAAAATCCCAATTTGTTAATGGTTACCCGCTGGATAACAATAAACCAACCCACTCGAACCATTAAACGGGTACAGCCCAACCCGTAAATTAATGGTTGGGTTGGGCGGGTTAGCGGGTTGGGTTAAAAAGTTGCCACCCCCAATTGCAGGTGTTATCCAGCAAAGGCTGTCTATTAATTGATCAATTCCATCAAGCTCTTAATCGTGGCAATCTTTATCATGGTGTGGATTGAGATCCCCGATCTGTTCTTACTGCTTTTTTATTTGTTGTTTGTGGTCACAGAACGTAGAATAGGCCTCTCCAATAGAATTGAAGAAATAGAACACTGATCTATTTGTAGCATCCACAGCCTAATTGAAAATGCAACTAAAGCCAGAAGGTTCTGGTCAATGCTACGCTGCAATGAATGAACACATGGAACTAGGCAACCAAATTATCAGGGTCCTCCCAAATTTGTCATTGTTTATAACAACAGGTAAGGGAATCTGACACAATACAAGAGGTAGCTAGGTGTTACAGTCTATCAATCGATTAATCTGCTCGTACATTGTCATTCCTTAAAGCTTATATCGCAAATGGACCACAAGGGTGAAAAAGATAACACCGCCATGAAGAGCATAGATTAGAAGTTACAACAGAAACACAACTTGAATCCTTGATTTTGTTAACAATTTGAAAATCTCGAGTTTTTGGTCTTCTGATAGGAAAATTTTTGAAATCACGATGGTGTGGCGTAGGAAAATAAATAGCTGTTATGGATGGAGCCCTTGGTACTTATCATCCTTGTGAAGTTCATACTTCATTAATCATCCAGTTTGAATTACAAGGACAAATTGGATCGTCACCCCAAGCAGAATTGCAGGGTGAAGCATCCGCATCTTTCAGGTCATAAAGCTTGTAAGTTGAGCTTGCTCAATCTGAATGGGGTAGCCAAAAAGCATGTGATGTGGACCCAAAGTCAATGAAAAGGAAAGTAGCTGATCACCAATGATATCAAAAACACCTAATTTTGCCAATAATTTCATCTCTTTCAGCAGTAAGGCCATGTTTAATTGTAGTAATATCAGAAATCAAAGGAAAAAAAAACAAAGAAACAAATTATCCATTTCATTGGTATAAGAACTCATGGAATGCTTATTCTTTGCTTTACATAGCAAATAGAAGTTGGAAGACTAGTTCTTAAAATCATTTAAGTGCAAAAGGTTGATAAATCAAGACTCACTTCCAGTCTCCACCAAAGATGCATCAGTTGCAAGATTTTGTGCTTCCAAAAGCTTCATTTGGCGTTCTGCATGTTCTCTTTCACAAGCACTAATTCCCATGATAATGTCAAGCATGGTACCAGTTGTCCCAAAGAATACCAAGGGTGCTAAAGACTTCCGACGTATCCCCACAGGGATTGCAAGCAAAGCCCCTGCTACCGAGAAAACCCATGTGCCCAGTGCACTGCAGACATCCCACAAGTCAGTGTTGGATAACCACTATATTGGAATAAATGAAATCAAATGTGGATGGCTGCACCTACAAAAGATCATTTCTAGAAACACCAAGAGATGGTGATAAAAATCGTCTCTAGATGGAAGTTGTGTTGCTAGTCAAGTTTCTTCAGAACATGTACCACACCAACTAAGAAACAAACTCAATCTTTTCACCTTAATTAGTAATTTTATCATTAAGAAACATTGGGAAATGACCTAAAGCACCATTCTGGGATGGGGAACTTGGATAAGGAACTGCAATATCCTTTATATGGAAATTTTTAGTGAACTCTTCAGGTCGACCAGTTGAGCCTCAAGACAAATATGTTTCTATGTGGACACTAAAGCATCATAATGGTGGTGAAATTGGACCAGTATTTAATAAAATAGCTGGAAAGGTTCAGGATCAAGAGATTTCCAAGTAATTAGTTAATTGCTAAGAATTGCAGGTAAAAATAGAGTTTTCACTTTTGCTATTGCCACTGATGTAGGACCAGCAATTCCAGTCCTGAGAGTGTTGAATGATCTTCCTTGATCAGAAATTTATGACTCTTGATGGTTGTAGTGGTTTGTTGAATGAATTAAAAAGAAAATAGAGAGAGAAAGAAGGGAGAGAATACCCAGAATCACCCACGAGGTGCCTAGAATCACTCTAGGGTATGGAAATCACTCACCATAATTAGCATAAGCTCAAAAAATAAAACTCAATAAATTTCATGATTTTTGTGTAGAACATCCATGCATATTTATAGACTCTAGACTAATAATAATCCTTGGACAACAAACTGTCAGACTCATGAGAATCTTAGGGGTCAAACTGTTAGACTCATAAGAATCCTAGGACTCAAACTGAACTGCCACATCCTATTTCAATTCAAAGAACACTCAATAACTCTAATCCTACTTATTCAATGACTCTAAAACCTTAAACATATACAAACTATCAATAGAAAAATCAGACTATATAATTGGACCCCATAGAAAAATTGAAAAATGACAAAAAATATATCTGGTGTTCAATTCAGTCCAAAACCCAAGAACCATAATTATGCAATGTCAGGACCTGTTGTAAGATCATCTTCTTTCTAGAATAAGTCTTTAAGGGTGCTGATTCATTCCTATCAGTTATCCACTACACAAGCAGAACCACCATAAAACCAAAAAGACGTATTGATCAAAAAAAAAAAAAGAGGGAGAAGGATGGTTAATCCCATTTGTCCTTAATCCTTACATAACCTAAATATACAACACAGAGCAACAACCATATTGATCTCAGCATACTTCATAATGGATATCCACTGGCATCAGCATTGGCACATGAACATTAAAGAATTGGAGATTTCAGCAGTACTGAACTACAGATAAACCTTAGCAACAAATCATTTTTTGCCTTTGTCTTTCTTGGAAAGTCAATGGATATTATTTTACGTGATTGATTTCGGCATATCCCAGACACCCCCTAATTTTTTTATGCTTTAAAAGACCAAAATATCCCTGTCTTTTGGTTCCTATAATTACCAGCAGTGGTTTTAAGGTGTTTTAACTAGGGATGTGCCCAATTTGTTAAAAAAGGGGTGTGCCAAAATTTTTCCCCTTATATTAAAGAATAAGTGTATGCAACAGTGGATATAAATATATAGAATATATACAGTGACTTGAGAAAAAATTCAGCCTAAGACCATGCCCTAGACTTTGTTTGGATATCATGTTGCTATACAAAGAAATCCCTTCCAATATCTGATTTATAGAAGCTATTCATCTTAACTCTCTTGGAATCCATTTTAAGGATGACTTGGTTCTCAAGAGCTTCAGAATCTCATTGGAGATGTCACAATTGATCTCCACAGGCCTTTGGCAGCCCCTTTGCCCCACTTAATAGGATTTGCAAGATCTCTTTTAATGCCTCTATATGAACTAAAGTAAAATCACATATTAATATAAGAAGTTACTTGGAAGCTATAAATGCCCGTCCCCCCAAAAAAATGAAGGGCTTCATTCAGTGTTATAAAAAGGTGTGCCTCAAGTGCACTTACACTCACAGACAAAGCTAATTTTCTTGTCTCTCACCTGGACCAATAAAGCTAATACATTTTCTTGTATATGAAAATTTTCTTTGATTTTTGTTTCAAAAGTGGCATTTCACTTCATTCAGACAAACACCTTGTGCCTCAGGTTTTAGCCAATAGGAACCTCTTGCACTTCAGTTGCAGTATAGAAAAATACAAAAGCACCAATGAAAACAAGATAAACCTTGATGCCAATGGTTCCTCTTCAGATAATCTCTAGCTTGATTACCTGCAGAATGAGCTATCTTCTTCAATTTTCACTATTAAAAAATGTAGGCAGTAGGAAATCTGTAAGCCGATTAAGAGAGTCCTTATCCCTTGCTGCTTGCATGTGATTCATGTGATTCACACAAAATCTTCAAAACTTCCACCATCCATACACAACCAAACATAAGTTAAAGGAGAAATGCCATATATGGCTGGCTGCATGAAGAAACAAATGATTGATGAATTCTCCATTTATTTTTCTTCATGATTGGTTTTGATTGATTTCTGCTTTCCTTGTGCTCATCACAAAGGTGTGAAGAAAGAGTTACTTATAGGCTTATAGCTTACCATCCTTCTATAAGACATTCTGTGCTTCACTTTACCACACATTGCCTCTTAGACAAAGATGTGAACCTTAGGTAGACTTCTATGAAACAGATGCATTTATTATAGTTGGAGAAATTGAGTAAAAGGGCCCAGTTGCATTAGGAAACTACAGTACTACACTACAATCTTGTTCTAGTGAAGAAATGAAGACAGCTTTAAGGGCCATATAAAGAGATATCTCCCCAAGCTCTATATCTGTCAGTGATCTAATGGAGTTTAGTTTCCACGACAAAAAAAGCTATTACTCATAAAAGGAATATCAAATATCACCACCTCTTTGGAACAGAGGTTAGAAAATTCAGGGAAATTGGAACTAAATGGCCTATCCCCCACAATTAGGGTTGTAGGATGGATAGAAGGTAAGGAGAATGGCTTTTCAATTTACACTATCAATCTGTATGCATGAAATGATGCTTCTGTCTGTCGAATAGTAAAAAATGGGAAAATTAGGCTTCAAGGAAGCATTAATCCCTATACCATATATTTTTGAACCAGAAGAGACAGGGAAACTTGGGTGGACAGACCTCTATGTTTAGCATAATACTTGAATAAGCAAAGTCGAGTATTCCTTTCTAAAGCTTTTTCTTCATTGTAACTTTCTTGACAATCAAAGATTCAAGTAGCATAATAAAAAATACTAATGAAAATCTGAAGGTGAGAAACAAGGGAAATTTAGTCGTACACAATTATTGATGGAATTGATTTGCAACAGAAGTAGTTATCTGGTTTTGTTATTTTATTTTCGTTTTAATAATTGATAAATGGACGCAATAAAAGTTAATAATTGTTTGGATGCCGCAAACCTTCTCATGGAAGAGTGGATTGTTCAGTACATATACATGTAGGTTAAATTTGTATAAAATGTTCCACCAATCTCTAGTTCAAACAAGTAGTGAGGCTCTATTGTGTTCAAAAGTGGTTCTTTCAAAATCCCCCTGCTTATCCAAATTTCTGGTTATTTTCTTCCTCATAGTTTTTTTTTTCGTTGATAAAAAAAGGGTTTGGCTGCTCCATTTTCATTACTAAAAGCAGACGGGTCTCTCATTCTACATCAGATCGTCTAACTCGGAATGCCCAAAATCAACAATTTCTAGGATGATACTATCCACCAGGTCAAAAGGATTTCCAATGTAGGGTTAAATATTTGCACAGAGAGAGAGAGAGAGAGAGAGAGAGAGACTCACTTGGAAACAGAACACTCTTCGAGCTGCTTCACATTCTCTTGGCCACCCATCTCAGTTTTTTCTAGTCCTCTGTTTTCTTTTCTATTCCACGAGAGCAGTTCGCTGTCCTGCTGCCGGAGAGAGGATTAACTCCGCAGTCTGCACTCAGGAGTCAGGAGTTCTAACTTCTGATGACCCCACACACAGCGAGTCTCGAGCAGGTCGGTTCTGAAGTTTGATGCACGACGCTGTGCGTGCGGGCCGCGGGTTCAATCAGTGAGGGCCGAGGGGTGTTCAGTAAAATTACGGATTTACCCAATCACAAACAAGAAAGAAAAAAGGCAAAGAAAATTGGGTTCATTAAAAATTTAAAATATAATGTGCTTGTTCAAGATTGATCCATTGATGAAGAAAATTCAAAAACTAATTCGAACCATGAGATGGGTTGTTTCGATCACAACGATCATTAGAAAGTAGTGATCAACAGACAACCATCCTTCTTACCAAAAAAAAACAGACAACAATCCTAATAAACCTAGCTAGATGAAAAATGAACAAAAAACCTTCATTTACAGAAATCTAGGACACGGTAGAACGGCTAAGCTAGTAGACTTTGTTGCATGAACGGAAAGGGTTCTACCAACCCAACTGAATTCCCAGCTAGAGAAAAGCCTCCATCAGTAGTTCATCAACTCGTTTGTTGATCTTTTCCTTCAGTCCTTCCAGGGACGACTTCAACTGTTCTAACTCGTACAACCCAAAATCATCAATGGCTATAGAATTCCACCAACACTGGCCATGGACGAAATCTTGATCTCCCGTATTCCTCGACTGTGCTAGCTTTTCTTCTCGCCTCTTCTCGGCTTCCAGTTGATTGAGGATCTCTATGTATTTTTTCTGTTGCATGTTGACATGTGGGAATCCATTACCGTCGACGTTGTGGAGAGGAGGATCGAAGTTCTGGCTGGCGAGGAAGCGGTCCACAATAGAGTTCACAGATGAATGGCCGAAGGAGAACAACTTGCCGGCCGGCGAGAAGACAATTACAGCGATCTCAACACCACATAAGATGCAAAGCTCACTCGCTTTCTTGAATAGTCCTCCTCGTCGCTTGGAGAAGGTGACTTGCAGGTGTTTTTTCAGTTTTATCTTTGAAATCTCAATCTTCTTTCTGCCCATGCTGGTCTTCTTCATCTCAATATCCTTCATTGCTACCAAAAGGTGCAGGAACGAGAAGCAGAACTCGAGAAGCAAAATGGGTTTTCTATAGAGAAGAAGAAAGCTTCACTGGTTTTCTAGCCCTTTAAATCTTTATATGATGAAGGGAAATCTCTGTTATTAGATCTCTAGCACTCTAATATATTAATATTTTAGTTTCTATATATTAAACGCTAAAGCTGTGGTAACGGAGGAAGCTTGATTTTGATTTTGGTAAGTTAAAATCTTCTGACAAGCAAATCTAACTAACTGGAATGTGGGAAGCCGTTGATCAACAGGGTTGGGTTGATCAATTAATTCAACCCGGCTTGAAAGTATCCACCCAACCTCGCATCACAGCTGTCAATAGGTCGGAGCTACCCGAGATAGAACCAAACTGAGTAACTGACTGTTGGTCGGATCCACCCGATTATGAAAATTAACAATTAGTTTGCTTTTAGACCTCGTCTATTTTACAAAACCAATTAAAGGGACTGATCAAGATCAACCCTATCGTAAACCAGCCCGACCCATTGACAGCTCTAAGACTCGCATCCTAACAACAAGGAGGGGCCGTTTGGTTCAGCTGAAAAAGCTGAACTGAATGATTTATTAATTTTTAGTGAATAAGTCATTCAGGATTTTGCAAGTCCCTGAAATTGAAATTGGTAGGGCTGTCAATGGGTCGGTTCTGCTCAATTGCCCAAACTGAACCGAACTAATCTGTTCTGGTTTCATGAGATTTTTGTCCCAATTGATAATTAGGTTAACTCTGATTGTTGCCTATTCGGAATTGATTGAGCAGAATCGATTATTTTATTATATATATATATATATATATTTTAATTTTCTTATAATTTGTATCATATTTTATGTTTTAAATCATCAAATGATAAATTTAATAAATAATATTAATAAAAATATGGAAAAATTTCTGATTAGTATCATGTACGTTGGGCTTAGTGTCACTTTGGTCCTTAACTTTAAAATGCGACAATTTAGTATCTGAAATCATTGCCTTTTCTATTCAAAAAATTGGGGTCACGTCTCATTGGGCATTTTGGTGATCCCAACTTTCTTAGATAGAAGAGGTAATGCTTTGGGACTGTTCATTTTTTATCAACATCTATATGATTAATAAATAGAATTAGATGACACTTGAAGCGCATTTATATATTTTCAAATGCCACTTAACCATTGGTTAATGGCAGGTACTAGATTGACACGTTTTGAAAGTTTAGGTACAGGATTGTTGTGTTTTAAATAAGTTCAGAGAGCAAAGTGACACTAGGCCCAAAGTATAGGGTACTAATTGAGAATTTTCCCTAAAAATATTTAATTTTTAATATATCAATAATTTAATATTTTATTATCATTTTTATTAAGATTATATTATCAAAATTTAAATTTTATGTTATTATTTAAATAAATAATAAAATTCCAGTATAATTGGGTTTATTGGATCTAAATTTATGATATAATCCTTGGTTCGGGACTAGGGCCACCCATCCTGACCCAGACCCGACCTGTTGCCAACCTCAGGAATTGGATTGATTATTATGCCTTTGATTTTGAGCCTCGTCTTTGGTGGACTCAAGACAATAGATGGGTTAGGGTATGGGTTTTGAGTTCGGATCTGCTGACCATGACACATTATTAGTCATGCACATCCTGCCGCACATCAAGAACATTGAATGTACTTTAAAACACCAATATTCCTGATGTATAATTGGATGCACATGGCGGGCAATGTGTCTTGGTCAACAGATCTGGACTTATGAGTTTTATCCTAATACAGTGATATGGAGTTCAAATCTACTGATTACAATACATTGCTGGGGACATTCACACAGCTGCATATCGGAAACACGTCTTGTGAGTTCAGATCAGCCCCTATAAGACTGCCCCCCACAACGTTCCACAGCACATCCCTGTTGTGTATTGGAAGCATCTCCCAATGATAATATCAGGAATATGATGTCATCATTAGGAGATGTTCTCAATGCACGGCGGGGATGTTCTGTTGGACGTTGTGGGGGGCTAATTCGGTCAGGTCTCACGTCTTGTACTCTATATCACGGACCCCATGTGCCGTTGTGTGATCGTGACCAGCATTGTTTTGTGGTCACTAGTCAATGGACCGAGCTGATTTAGGGCCCGAATTATCTTAGCCACAGGCCAAACCCCTAGTTAATCAGCTCCAAGCCCAATTTGAGCTAAACCCAGCACAAGCTAGGTTGGGCTTGGGTAAGCCTAGGTGGGTTGGTCAAGTTTTAAAGCTTTCTTGTTCATGTATGTGATCTATTTGTGTCTTTTGTCCATAAGCATGGATCCAATTGACTACATACCACATATGACTCACTTTGTGGACATTTCGTTATTATAATATAGTTTATTTATATTTCAAAAAAAAAGATGACTACATAAACATTATAATGCAACTCAAAGTGTAGATTAATAGAAGGCCAGCCCAATGCATGTGGATCCCACTAATGCAAGACCTAGGGAGGAACAGATATATACAAACATTTCGATCCATTCCATAAGATGAAAGTAGCACTTGGTTACAAGTGGCATGAACTAATCCACAATGTATGTGTTTGGTTCCGTTTATGTTTATTGAATAAACATTTATACTTTATTTGTTAGTAAAACTGAGAAATACAATAACTGCAACCGTTTATGACAAATAGGCACCACATCAGCGTAACAGTGAATAAATGCCTAGCCGTTTGTGAAAAAATAACTTTTACAAACAGCTGGCATGCACATAAACCAAAGTTTCGATGTATGCAGAAGAGCAAGAGAGGGAAAATGTTGAGATGGCGCCTATGTGGCACCATCAATAAATGTTTACTGAATAAACGTGAACGAAACCAAACACCCTCAATATATTGTAGACCAGTTCCATCCAAACTTCAAAATCTCGACCATGGTCTATCTCGTGGAGGAGACCCAACCGCACCATATTTGTCCCCAAATAATGATATGATGCATTTTCTCATTTTTATATATTTCAACAACTTTAATTATTTTTATTAACTTTATATTAAACTATCATAATTTTATTATTCTATTATTTGATATATTTTGTCCTCCAATATTTGTCATATATGACTTTTATATTTTTATATTTATTAATCAATACATAGTGATATTTTATTTTAACCATGGTCATTTTRTATTATTTTTATTTATCCTATTTATAAAATTTTAATAATTTTTATATTTGATTGATTATGTAAATCGTCTCAGAAGAGGGATAGTTTTGGCTTTTCTCCTTTCTTTCTCTCTCTCTCTCTCTCTCTCTCTTTCTCTCTCTCTCTATATATGGTAAAAGCTAGCAAGATGAGTTCATTAATAAGAAAACAGCCACAGTGTACAAAAAGATATAATAGTTAAGGTCTAATTAAGTCTTAGTGTACAAAAGGATATCATAGTTAAGGTCTAATTAAGTCTTGGTTGGCCAGATCTCATATCCACCCAGGTGGATCTTGGACAAACAACCTAGACTCTTCTAGACCTTTCTTCGCTAGCATGTGAGCAACAACATTACAAGTTCTATTTACATGATTAAAAGAAATTGCTAGATCTTCAGTCAGTAACTTAATGTCCAAGCATAGAAAGTTTGCATCCAAGACCAAATCTAAGTTTCCCGTCTTTAGAGCCTGCACCAAAAGTTGATAGTCCGATTCCACTTCTATATCTTCCTCCTCGTACATACTCAAAACCTCCAAACTGTTGAGGATCGCCATTGCTTYAGCTTGAATGGGAGATGAAGCTGTTGGTTTGCCAAAAACTGTAACTATAACTACACCAACATCATTCCTTATAGCTGCACTAAAACCTGAACTGCCAGGATACAAAAAACTCCCATCCACATTCATCTTGATCTTCCCTGCTTCTGGTGCTTTCCAAAAAGAAGATTTCCTTTCACTCAGGTTTGGATGTTGAGGTGAAGAATCTTGCAATCCTACTAGGGAAGTCATCACTCTCTCCCTCCACATCTTATAAGCAATTGCAAGTGTAACTTTGGGAATTGGGTCAGTATTCTCAAATATTTTACTGTTCCTAGCTTTCCAGATATTCCATAATAACAGAAATGAGAAAGCAAGTAATCCATCTTTTCTGTCTCTGTCTGTTAATCATAAATCTACCCAAGTTGAAGACCAACATGTGAAGGATATGCTCGATCCACCTCTTACACCCATAAAACTTAGGTGAGAGCCAAACCAGGTAGCTTTTGCATGTTCACATTCAAAAAGATAGGTCATTATAGTTTCAGTCTATTGATTACATATTAGGCACATGTTGTCATTCGAGAGTTTTCTTTTGTAAAGGTTTTCTTTCACTGCTAGGGCTTTTTGAGAACATTTCCAAATATTTTTTTTTTTTATTTTTGGGTCGAGTTTTGCTTTCTAAATTTAACTCACAACTTTTTCCCCATATTTATTGCATTAAGAGGGGCTGATTTGCTATTTTGTGAAAGTAGGGCATAGTACCCAGTTTTAACTGTGTAAAATCCTTTTGGATTAAAAGTCCATCTCAGCTTATCATCCCAATCTCCCCTAGCTAAATTTATACTCAGAATATTTTTAGCAATTTCCTCCCTGAAAATTTCCTCCACCACTCTTGTATTCCAACTTCTACCCTCCTCCATCATGAGATCCTTTACCCAAGTCAACTCTAGGTTATTCGTTCTGGGCCCTATAATTTTAAATGGCTCGACCTGTTTTAACCAAGGGTCGTCCCATATCCTAACTTTTGTATCAAAATTTATAGCCCAACAGGCCCCTTTCAGAATGACCTCTCTAGCTGCTACCAAGCTTTTCCATCCCCATGAACCTCTAGTAGGAAGAACGTTAGTCAGGAAATTTCTCCCCTTGATGTATTTGGCTTTGATGATCTTAACCCAAAGATTATTTTCTTCATTACATAATCTCCAGGCTTGCTTTGCGAGCAATGACAGGTTAAAACTATAAGGATCTCTAAATCTCAACCCTCCTGCACATTTATTTTTGCTGAGGACCTCCCAATTAACCCATTGTGTATTCCTCTGATCCTTTGTTCCCCCCACCAAAACTTAGTTTGGATTTTCTTCAGTTCATTATATGTTAGTGTACAACTAGT